GATTATCATTTACTTTATTAAAGGAAATGAATGAAGAAGAAAAAGGAAGTAACTTCAATACAAAATAATTTAAAGGATGAGGCATTAATCATTCTATAGAACTCTCAATTTTGGACAGAATTTTATTATCAACATCCTCCATTATGCTGATAGAGCAATTAGGTCCAGATCTCAAGAGTTACTTAAGGACTTAGGAAGCAACTTAGTGATAAAGCAAATCAAGCGCATTAGAGACCACATACAAGTGATCCCTATACTTGGATTTCTTCCCTAACAGAGTGGAATCCAGTGCTGTACCACAGTTGCATGCACAGCAGCCTCAAAAATTACAATATTTAAACAGTAGGAATGTTCTACTGGGCTCTTGGGCCATGCTTTTACACAAACACTTCAGCTGTTAAACTGTGTCACAAGTTCTGGAAGGCGAAAAGGAAATCATAGTACTTGGTACTTTTTTTCTGGTTTATTAAAAAAATCATTGTCCTAAATTACCAGTATACTTTGATGTCAAAACAAAATGTGCCATATTCTCATTTGCGTGCTAAGCAACACTAGCTACTTCACACAAATAATATCACAGAATTATAAGATGTTTCTTTACATAACACATAGGACACACATTCCTTTTCATTTGTTAGGAAACATTTCGTGTTTTAGAATTTAATCTGGTTATGGGCATCCTGTACAAGAAAAGCGGGCATCAACTCACAAGTGTGTTATAAGAGTGTCACCTACTGGCAAAGTCTACTTCTAGGCAATTTCCTGCAAAACACAGATGCCATGCAACACTTCAAGCTTCACAATGCTACAAGAGATGCTACCACAGTTCTTTATGACCTGTCACAACAAGACTTAACTTAGAACAAATACATAAGAATCCTTGCTGGAACAGTTTCATTATGCTGCTGTTCTGTTTGCTTGCTTGCTAGAATGGTACTAAACAGCTGAAATAAAGTTTCAGCTTTTCATTTTGTTCTTTACCAAAAAAGAAAATCTAAGCTTAATACTAGAGGAAGTGAACGCAAAAGACAAGGGAGATGGACACAAAAAAATATCTGTTTTTCCACCCAGTGAATCAACCTCATTAGCAGTTCAGACTGTACAGATTCTTCTTAAAGGAGATTTTAAAATTGTCATTTGCAACAGAAAACTCATACTAAGCACTGCTCTCAATGCATTATTTTTTTCTCAACAGTTATCTTCCCAGCAGAGAGCTGCAATTATTGCTGTTATTATCCAAAGGGCTGGAAAACAGAGCATATAATATATAATGGGAACATAACCTGAAAATAACGAGTCAAGATGATGATAAGGAACATCAGGGACTGATCAATGATCATATATCTGTCTCATTTGCCTCAGGAAAATCAAACATACTTAAAACTAAAAAAAAAAAAAACCTTAATACGTTATTCAATGCAAAATGCATGGTTGGGCAAAAAAAGGTAAAAACTGCTCTAAAGATCATTATCTTTTTTTTACTTCAGACTACACATCTTTAGCTTAAGACTAAATGAAAATACTGAACAAATAACTCCAAATCTTTCAAACAGAATTTATAACCCACAGTCTACTAATGTTTTCAAATTCTAGGTAGCAACTCCTCTAAGTCTTCACTACATCTAATACTTTATTCTTTTTCCTACTGGATTTTAAAAGAATATTTGGGGTATTTTCACATTATAAAGCCATTAGTTTCCTCTTTTTGTTTTATATGCAGAGATTATCATTTTTTTCCTCATCATTTGAAATCTAAAATAATACATCTAGCCATTTACATGCTCAGACTATTAATAAGGATACCTCCCAAAACAGGCAATACAGGGTTTCCCTCCTGTACCAGGTTTCACTTGGGTGATTTTGCAAAACCTAGGTCAAGTAATACTGTCATAATGAGTCAACAGAGCAAGAAGACAAGCAGCTGAATGAAGCAGATATTCAGCATTTCATGCAACACTGCATTTGCACTTTCAGTTCTGTGTTCATTATTTGTCAAAGAAGCACAAGTCACAATTGCCTCATCACACTGAAACTTCTTACAACACTGTTGTTTTTTTTTTCCTAATACAGTGTTCTTCTGTAGTACAACTTGTGCCACTGTTATTGAGAGACATTAACAATAGTAATCACTCACAATTTCAGTCACTTGTATTTCTTCTGGAAGCTTAACTCCCAGTTATTCAACAATCTCAATTTTTATTTTTTATTGAAAAAGAAAAGTTCATTTCCACAACCGTAAAGAAAAGCGTGAAAGAGAACAACCTGCAGGGACTAAAAAGGCTAATAATAAAGCAAAGTATCCCTTCATTTTTTTATATACATGCTTTAGAAGAGACTATTTTGGTACGTACTGTTCTGAGTACTTGAATGCTTAACAAATTAACAAGGAATGCAAGATGTATATTTTATGGTTGCCCCAGAATTCTCCTGATAAACACTGTAGAACATGTTTCCTTTTAAAAACAGAAGAAAACAGAACTGATGCCTCACTAGTGCTTCTCCTCTCTCCTTTCAGCTTCCAAAAGAACAGGAATAAAATATATATATATATATGCTGCTGTGGTTCTAAGTCAGGACTCAGCTGAATCACGCAGTGGCATCACAAGGTATTATCAGTGCTGACACTGTTTCCAATTAATTTTCATGGATAATGAAACATCTGCATCAGTCCAGCAGTTCACAAGCTTCACTGATCTGCTGCTTCTCCAGTCTTTTTTATTGATTTGTCATTACACAGAACACCTAAAGTTTTCAGCACAAGCTAAATAATCTGTTTTAGCAAAGTCTTAGCATTAACAGATATTGACAGTATAAATTTATTTCTTGGAACAATTTACAGCCGTTTCTCACCCAGAACTGAGATGTCAAAGATCAGATTAAGGTGCTGACCAGTATTAACCAATTTCACAGCCTTAGTGCAGCTTAGAACAAAAGAATCTGTTATACATACTGAAAGCATATTGCTTCCACTGTAAATACTGTATTAATCTTCTATGACACTTACATTCGCTCTATTACTTTCTTCATTCAATGCCAACACAACTTTCTTTATAAAACATATACTTTGCTTGACTTTGATTGCTAACTGCAAATCACTCCGTTAATTACTTGTGGAATATAAACTTTGTCTGATATACATTATAATACACACTACCATTTCAGCAATGAAAGAAACAGCCAGTACCACTGCAGACAAGCTTCTATATTCCAGACTTCAGTTAACTGTTGATCTCTGCATATGAACTAGCAAACAATCCTCAGAATAATGGAGGCAAATGGGCAGTTCCACCTCTTCCTCAAGCAGGCTTCGTGACCTGACTGCACTCCAAAAAGTTATCTGAGCTGACCAGATGAAATGTAGTCATATGAAGCTATATAAGATGTATTCCATATTACTTGACTTTAGGTCCCTGAAAATTATGAGTCTCTTTGCACCAGGCAGAAGTATCTCGCATCACCTACACACCTAATTTAAACCACCAGCTCTCTGCCGCAGTCTTAGGCAGCACTAACCCCCCAAAAAACTGATTGTTGCTACAATGCAATAGCAGAAACTTTCTGCACATAGAAAAAAAAAAAATCACATTAATAATGTAAAGAATAATGAACTCAAATTGCCAGTGTTGAAATCCAAATGACACTCAAATCTTTTTAAAGCAGCTGATGGTGATTCAAACCCACAGAAAGCAAGGTATATCAATTGTTCAGAAGACTAAAAAAAAAATAGGCATTGATAGCATTATAACCTTTGCCAACTGAGCTTGAATTACCAGAAAAATAAGATAACTTTGAAAAACCACAAACATCACTTTTGGCTTAAGTTAAAAATCTTAAGGTGCCAAAAGAAGAAACTGTGCCCCATTCTACCCAACAACAGTAAAATATCCTGCATACATAGAATTGTCACTAAAAAACCCTAAAAGCAAAGTCATCACAGGATCAGCCTCCTGTATTATCACTCTTGCTTCCCAAAACAATTATAGTAAGCTTTCAACAACTTCCACATTTCACAACACATTGCTATTTATGAAATGGATCCCTTCAGTGAAGAAGTATGTCTTCTCATACTTTCAGGAAGGCAGAAAATCTCACAATTAATGAAATTGTTGCCGTCTCAAGTTAAGTTCAAAAGCTCAGACTGGATTATCTCTTCTACATACGTAAACAATGACAAACAGGTAAAACACTTCTAAAAACTCCCATTTGCATGTTGCAGATGAAGCAGATGTGAAAAAGTATTTTACTTTAAAATCCCAATAAAGCTCTTTTGAAGGAAGTTTACAAGCTATGTTTCTGTATCACAAGCAATGCACTTAATTCATCACTAAAGGATCTTACACAAAGGTACTACTTCATTTTCCACGTGTTCGTATCTGTCCTATTTTCACTTTTACAAACCCATCCCTACTGACCCATTTTAAGTTTTATTGTTATGGATAATGCGATAGTACATTCTCCCAATCTAGAACATACACCCAGAGGAACTCCATCCCAAAATATTACCATTGGCATCCCATACTGAGAGCCCTGGCTTACCTACAGCACTGAAATTTTTCTGAAAAGGAGAACCTTGAGATGAATGTGCATTGGGGGTGGGGTCAGCAGGAAAGAGTGCCTACTTTCCAGTACTCAAAGAAAGAAAAATTTTTCAACAGCTTTGTTTTTAACTCTTCCTGTGTAAGTTTATATTTTAATGGCTTTGCTCTACACTTTCCAGCTTCTCTTTACATTTTATTCTCCAGTAAAACTAGTGTTATTGTCTACTACCAGCATTTGTTACAGCTAAGGAAACTATTAAAAACTTAATAATAAAATACTGTCGTGGCAAATTACAGAAGTGAGCAGGTGAAGGCAAGGAACTATCCAAAAATAAAATGCCTATATAAGTAAACGTGAATAAAGACAATGGACATCACTTCAGGTAACAGATCAACTGTAACTTCCACAGGGTTCACTTATTTCTAACACAAAACACACACAGGAGAAATATCAGTACTTACAACAGGGTTTTTTGTGTCTGGGTCAAATTCTGTAGAATTTGCATCTAAAAAAAAGTTCAAAAACATACATCACCATTGTTCTACAAGCACTACAGACTCATAAGAGCAGTTCTGTGACACTTTTCTACTTGTCTGCATCTCCACTTCAGTCTTGCCTGTTGAAAGACATACTGTACTACTTTGGAAGAACTCTCCTGTGACCTCAGTCACACACACTACATTTCCCAATTGCCAAACTTTCTTCATCTCCATTTTTAGTGGTAGCAGTTCACTGGTGAGGTAAACCTCTTCAAATTACTGCTGCAATGGGTATTAATTTAGTAACTCCAACAAAGTATGCAAAAGCAAGCGAGGCCTAATTTCACGTTTTAACTCTTGACCACACCTGTACACTCCAGCAAGAATGTTCACAAAGGTGAACAATAAGAGTACTGCAGAAAATGTGCTTAAGTCAGGAAGCAAGTTACAGGCAATCTGCATAACAGGAGTTCCTGCTCCTTTGTACACAGGGTGCTTAGCTCTCGCAACATAACTATTTTGAAGGATAATCCTAGGATCTACCTAAAAATAGATAAATATTTCATGTATAGAATAAAACTCCATCTAAGCAAACCACATCCACACCGGCATTCTGAGCTCACCTTTCCAATTTAAACAGTTTCTTGCAAATTCCACAACCGCTAATTGCATTCCCAGGCAAACTCCTAAAAGACAGAACAACAACAACAAAAAAAACCCAGAATTTAACAGCAGAAAGAACAGGGCAGATAAAGTACTTACTGTTCCATCTTAATAAGACTGTTCAGAAACCTTGTGTATACTCACAGACTTACCAGAAACAAAAATGTCAAACTCTTCAGACTTGGAGTACTGTGAATACGTGTGAAACAATCACGCTGTAAACTCTTTCAAAAACTGTTCCTTTTTTTTTTCCTCCCATCTTCTCAAATAATTATTGCAAAGAAACAAAAGCTGAAAGTGTCCAAAATCTAATTTTATTTTAGCAAATAGCCAAATAGCCACTGTTACTTATAGAATTGTACCAAATCTAGAGTGAGGACCAAAGCTCCAGGGATTCACACACAGAGCATTTAGCTCACAGGCCATATGGAACTTTCAAGAATTGTTATAATAAGATATCAGACAAATCAATAAAAATTAATACTGCACATCTCCAAAGACACTTGTTTTCTGCACACTGATTAGTAAGTACGATACTGATTTCACACTCAGGGGACTGGAGCACCTCCACTATGAAGACAGGCTGAGGGAGCTGGGCTTGTTCAGCCTGGAGAAAAGAAGGCAGCGGGGTGACCTCATTGCAGCCTTTCAGTACCTAAAGGGAGCCTATAAACAGGAGGGGAATCAACTCTTTGAAAGGATAGATAACTGCAGGCCGAGGGGAAATGGTTTTAAGTTGAGAGAAGGAAGATTTAGGCTGGATGTCAGGGGGAACTCTCTCTTTACAGAGAGAGTGGTGAGGTGCTGGAACAGGCTGCCCAGAGAGGTTGTGGATGCCCCGTCCCTGGAGGTGTTCAAGGCCAGGTTGGATGGGGCCCTGGGCAGCCTGGTCTGGAATTAAATGTGGAGGTTGGTGGCCCTGCATGTGGCAGCGGGTTGGATATTCATGATCCTTGAGGTCCCTTCCAAGCCTGGCCATTCTGTGATTTTGTGACATTGAGGTACACAGAACCTCCATGCAAAATGTGAATAAAGTAAATAAAGCCTTTGGAATGCAAAAGGTAGGAAAGGCCTTTTTCTTCCTTCCTTACATAGCAGCTGGAGTACATAACTATGACCCTAGGCATAATTTATAAGGCATATGATGCAAACAGCATACATACAATCAATCCTAAGACAGAATCCTTTATTAGTATTCAATTGACAGTATTCTTCTTTTTACTTACTAACAATATAGTAGATGTCCACGCACCTGTTCTAGCAGGTTGGGAAGACTACTTTTTTTAAATATCAAATTAGCCTTCTCTACACCTCCAAAACACAATTACTGACACTAATGATCTTACCGAGGAAAGGTTTTTTCTTTGTTCTTGCCCAGGAGATAGCTTGGAGTTTGCCTTCTGTTCCCCTAATTCCAAACCCTCCTGGGACGAGAATGCCACTGTAATGACAGCACACATAAAGCATCTAACAAATACAATCAAGTCACCAAAATAAGTCTCTCAGATTGTATGGACTTTTCATTACAAAAGAACAAAAACAGTGCACAAAAGATGTGTCCTACTACCATGCAGAATTTAAATGTGGGGATTTGTCTTATCTATCCATGTGAATTCTCACCTGACTCTTTACTACACAGTGAAGTTCTCACTGCTTTCTACAGCTATTAGCAGTGTACTCACTAAGCGAATATGTTTATTCACCACTGCAGAATCTTAAGACCAAAACTCAATGACTACTGAATAAAACTGAAAAAATAAACGCATCTAAACAACAAGTTACATGTCCTTACAAATAAAATTGAAAGCCCAACAACAATTCATACCAAAAAGGTTTTCAGAGTGGCACAAGCATTTACTAAGCTTTTCTCCACCTTTCACTGTGATCCATGTCCACTGACTAAAGTCACTGACAAACAGACCTGTTCTTTAAGGAAACTATTTTGACTAGCTATCCAAAGCAACTAACAACTGCAATATGTCTAAAGAGATTAAAACAGAGTTTGAGGATGCAGGGCAATTCCACAATTTGTTATGTTTCACTGTCTTGACACCAGTCATGCAAGGCTGTCCCATTCCGTAAGAAACAAAACTTCGGATACACTGAGAAGTGATTCACTGAAATAGTTTTCATCACATTAAGTAAATACCACATTCAAGATACAAAACACTCACTCTGCTTTGCACAGCTTGTGCCATGCCTGATGGTATTTCACTGAGTTCTCCGCTTCTGTAGAACGTTCAAGTTCTGTTGAGTCTATATACTAAGGAGAAAAACAAAAAAAACATAATATAATAGTATTTTCTTCCACAGAGAAAGCAGAACATACTATATAAGCAACTTCTACATGACACAACTACTAAGAGCTTCAGGTGAATTTCTCAGTAGAATACAGCAACTACAGTGAAGACTCAATGTTTGCTCTACTTGCTGCACCCCATGCTCCTTTCTTTGCACATCAGCTCCAGAGCTCTGCTCGTCTCCAGTCCCTGTTTTCCTGCCCTCCAGGTACACAGACTTGCTACAGTGCTCAACAGCCACGTACCCAGCTTTAGTTTCTATGGAAATCTGGGCACCAATCGAGGGCTGGGGCTGACCTTGTACTGACATCCAAATGAGATGTAGCTAGGATGCTTATTTTACTAGCTTTTGGGTGCCACTGCTTATCTAATCTTTAAGACTGGATAAACTTGCATTGTCTAGCCTGTCAGAAGGACACTCATGTGAGTTGACTTGAAAGCATGAACTGTAGAGAGCAAGCCAGGCTCACTGTTTATGTCTTACCAGAGATCTTGCATTAGAATCAATACTGCCACTAGTAAGCATGGCTCCTGAGGCATCACTAGAGTAAATGACTGGGGCAGTTATATACTGCATTAGAGTCACAAAATATCAGAGTTTGATTCATGGTTTTAACAGTCTTTCTGAAAATAGCATAGTTAGTAGCATCCTGCTGTAGTGGCCACACGCTAAGAATTAGATTATCTGAAGTGACAGTATTCATTTGTTTGTAAAGAAATTAAACAGATATAAAGATCGGCCTATGATTTTCCAGATAGAGTTGCCTCCTAGCTAATATTTCTCCTTTTTCCATTCTTCAAAAAGCATCAAAAACACAACAGAAAAATAATTACCTACGGGCCTTGCTATTTTACACTGGTACAAGAAGACAAACTGAAAGGATGCTTTAACACACTAGGAAATTGAGGAAAAAACTAATTACAGCTAAAGTTAATTGTAGTTTCCCTGCCAAGCATAGAGAAGCAGCACGTTCAAGCAGCATCAACAATTTATCATTCACATATGTCAGATATTATGTTGCGTGCAGGATCCCACATACAATATTCAGAAGTTCCTTTGCAACACAGGTTTATATAGAGAACCTTCTGATGAGGAAAAAAAAGTTGATGTATGCAGATAAATACAACAGGAATCCTTGTCAGCTAGCACACTTCAGCACCAAGCTGGAATGAGTTTTAGCAATCAGTTATTCCCTTGCTTGTTAATGGAAAAGCTCCACTGAACTCAGCTTTAGATGCAAGTAAGCCTTGTTAACCATGTACCTGCAAAACTAGGCATAATTCTCCAGGGATGGAGACCTCACAACCACTTTGGGCACACTGTTTCAGGGTTTGACTGCTTTCACAATGAATTTTTTTTTCCTTTTTTCTTCTTTTTTTTTTTTTTTTTTTTTTTTTTAAATTAAGTCAACACTTGTTACATTCTCTCAACCTTCTACTGCACGCTTCTGGAATGAGCCTGACTTCATCTTCTCTTCACTCTCTTGGATACAGACAGCAATAAGATTTCCCCCAAGCTTTCTTTTCTTCACATTGAAGAAACTTACTCTGCTCTCTTCATACATGTGCACTTCAGCCCTCTGATCTTTGTTGCCTGACTTCAGACTCAATCATTATGTCAGTACATAGACTGTACTGGGGAGAAGAAAACTGAATACCACCCCTCATACACAATCTTAAAAGTGCTGAACAGAGGGGAAACAGTGATTACCCTCAGCTACCCTCATCATGTGATGCCACTTACTACCACAGTGTTGTGCAGGATGTTGGAGGCCTTCTTCAAAGCAATGGCACATTGTTGGCTCACACTCAACTTGTCATCTACTTGCAACTCCAAATACCTCTCCACAAGCTACTTGTTAGTCAGTCATGCTGCATCCTGCACTACTAATGAGGTTACTCAATGTCAGATGCAGGACTAGCATTTTCCCCTGTTCAATTTCACAACACAATTTAGCAGAGTGTTGTCAGAACTAGTGTAGTATGGTTAGGTTGCATAACCTAACCATCAAGTTTGATAATCTTTAAGGTCTTTTCCAACCCGAGCAATTCTATGATTCCAACATCAGCTCCTGTCAGCCCATTCCCATAGCCTGTTAAGGTCCCTCAGAGTAATAGCCACCATACAAAGAGCTCCCCTTAATTTAGTATCATCCTCAGACTTGCTCAGGTGCACTCCATCTCATCTTTCATATAATTAACAAAGGCATTAAACAATTTGTTTTTCTCAGTTTCTTCTGTTGGTAAGAAATCTCTTTCTGCCTCCCTAGGAAATACATTAACACACTCCATTCTTTGAAATTTTTTTCTGTAGGGCTTCTTCAACTGCCCACTTTGATTGATCTACCTACTACCTCTTCCTGAAATCACACTAAACCAGCATTTTGATGCTGATACTTTGTGACTATTTACTACTACTTTGCTATTGCAAGTTGCCAAAGTATCCTCTGTACCCATTCATAATGACCAATATACACTCCCACACCACTTCTCTGCCCCAGACCTTCCCACCCCTAGCATCAAAGCCCTAGAATAGAAATGGATAGTTAACAGCAGTAACAAAGCCAACAGCAATTTCTCTGTGTCATTCAACTTTCTATTCTTATTTTAAGACGACAAATTCAATCCTTATACAAGGATCCTCACAGCAGATTTTAATAAGAAAATAAATAGCTTTTTAATTTGTCTATTATCTTGTCTTTCTTAAGCTAATCTCACTAACACAATAAGCAGTCCCATAACAAATGAAACCTAACCTTGAAAGTAAATCAAATAATCAGATCCAGTGTGGGATTATCAATAATATTTTCAGGTAAGTTTAGTTCCTAATAAAACAATTACATTCCTAAATGCTGCATTAAAAAAAAAACTGTTTAGCCAATCTGTATTTATTCATGATTCATTTTCTAATTTTCATCTGAATAAAAGCTGCTTGACATGATGGCAGTTCGTAATGTATATTCAAAATATTCCTGGAAACAAAAATCCAGAGATCCTCACCATTAAATCCAGTTTGTGATTAATCGCCAGTGCAGAGTGTTCCAGAGCCTTGAAAACAGATGCATAGCAATCACTTAGTTTTGTGTACTTGCCAACGAGAGCTATGGAACACACCTTCAGCAACCTTTCATATCTGACAAAAACAAGTTTTTGGATTATTATATCCATTTTCACGTTTCATTTTTCTTAAACTTTATAATGCATCTTTTAAAATCCCTAAAATGTCAATGTTTCTAAACCCAGAGTTTCCACAGGTGTTGCAGCAGCAACATGCTACTGACCCCAGCGCAGTTTGGCTGTTCCAGGTCAGGTAAAACCTAACCTGAATTCAAACACCTCCCAAAAGAACAGCAGGAGTCAGCATACCTGTCAGCCATTTTCTTCCATTTCATTAAAAGATCACTTGGCTGGTCATCAATGGGTAAATTCAACCTCTGTTTAAAATACTTCATGATGCCTTGCTCCTCCAACAGAATTGGTACTCGGTAAGTGGAAGAAACATCATGGATAAATATCACCTGAAGAAAAAAAGAAAAGCACAATATACATACTTACCTAAATATTTCACATAGTAAATACACATTCTATTTTTGCATACTATGTGCGTTCCATATTCTGCATACATTCTACTTTTTAAATAAGTTTCTTTTGAGTGAGCAGGGCAGTTGTCGAACTTCAACTCCAACAGGCAGCTAAGTGCCACACAGTCACGCACTCACTCACCCCTGCAGGATGGACAGAGAGAATCAGAAAAATGAAACTGAAAAAACTCCTGAGTTAAGATAAAGACGAAGTTTAATGGGTATGACAAAATACATGCACAAGCAACTTCTTCCACTACTTCCTACAAGTAGGCAGATGTTTATCTATTTCCAGGAAAGCGGGATTTCATCTCACATACTTGTTAGCTGAGAAGTCAGATGCCAAAACTATGACCTTCTCCCCCTTTCCATCCCTTAGCTTTAACTACAATCAAAGAATCTCAGAATAGCTTCGATTGGAAGGGACATTAAATATCATCTTGTTTCAAACCCCCTGGCATGAGCAGAAACACCTTCCAGAAGACCAGGTTGCCCAAAGACCCAATATGGCTTTGAACACCTTCAGAGATGGGGCATCCACAGCCTCTCTGGGCAACCTGTTCCAGCGTTTCCTTCTAATAAGCAACCCAAATCTCCCTTATTTTAGTTCAAAAACATTCCCCCTTGTCCTATCACCACACTACCCAATAAAGAGTCCCTCCCCATTTTTTTTTAAGCCCCTTTTAGGTACTGTAAGGCCGTTATAAGGCTCCCCAAAGCATTCTTTTCTCTAGGCTGAATAACCCCAACTCTCTCTGCCTGCCTTCATATTCAAGCAGCTGTGATGATCTCTGGACATGAAAAAATCCCTAGCTTTAGCGTTGGCTTTGTTTATCCACTATTCTAAGCATTTTAGATGATTTACGGACAATAACCAACCACAGTTACAGCACTGGTTATTGCATGAGACTGCAGAGTTTTCATGACAACATATAGTAAAAGAACTATATATTTGAAATCTACTCCTTTTATTAACTTTTTTTCCCCCCACAGGCTATTCAGTAATTATTCCAAATAACGCATTAAAATTGTTAATGACTGTTGAATATATGAAAAGTAGCATATAAACTTTTGATGTTCTTAAGTGGTGAAGTGTACATAAAAGCAAGAAAAAGTCAGGAAAACAACTATAATGTAATGAAATAATCTGAAGTGGAAAACTGAAAGGCATGGATGTTTTTATATGCTTTCCCACATATATAACTAACAATAACTGAAGTACTGACCTGTTCAGGCTCCACATGGCAAAACATGGAGATCTTTTCCTTCACTGCCATTTCTATAGGTTTTGCACTTCTGCAGACAATCTGTCATAGCAGAAGAAAAAAAATCTTAAATCTTTCCCCAGAAAAGAAACAATAGAAGACTCTCAGTACTGTTCATGAAGAAGTTCACTTCCTTTGGAAGCACAGCACAAGCAAATGCACTTTATCTTTCTGCACTCTTTTGGAGTTGTACAAAATATCACAGCTCACAGACATCTTCTAGCAAGGTAAAAGTATTCAGTTAACCTGCCCATACTGACCCGTTTTTATTAATCTTTGTCACCTTCTGAATGTATTTTGTTTTCTTCTCGCTTGTAACTATTTGTAATATTCCTTAAATAAAGTGAAGCAGGTCTGTAAGTATAAATAACACACTGAAAAGAAATATTCTTACCAGCTAAGTTCATAGCAAGAATACTTGGCCTATATGCGTGTTTTCTATCATTTCAGTATCTTTTTTGTAGTTCTTAATTTGTACATAACAGTAAAAAGAAGGCTGAAAAATAGGAAACTGTTTCTTAACATTGTGGGTTGCTTGTTTGTTGTTTTGTTTGGTTTGTTTTTTTTTTTTTTTCCCTTCAGGTGCTATTATTATGCTGAAATATATCAAACTCTGGGATTTTGGAAAATACTGATATTTTTTTTTTCCAACAAAGAAAATAAATGGGTGTTTTGCTATTTGTTGGAAGAGATGTTTTATTTTCATTATTGAACATCAGGCAATTAAAGTGTACAACTGCTCTCTGAATGTTCCTATTGATAACTTAACCTACCTCGAATTATTTTGAATCCTTGAAGTATAACCAAGTACAACGATACTGTTAAAAGTTTAATTCCCCATCTTTCTAGTATACACAACTACTTAACCCATTGACTTCTTCTTTTGTTCAGAAACTAGATGTTCTTCAATCCCATTGCTGAAATGCAGTTTAGCTACCCTGATATTGATGAAGTCTTAAATAATTTCCCTTACCCTTGCAAAAACTTCTAGAATAAAGAAAATAAAGGGCAAATTTAAGGGAAAATGTTTGCTTAGTCTTATAAAAATTTAAAATCAAAATGAATGCAACAATTTGTACATTCTCAACTGCATATAGCTTATATTGAAAAATTTAATTCTGTTTGAAAACTTTTCTCATAAATCTTGATAGCACAAGTGCATGATTAAATCCTCTTGGGAATCTGACTTCCTTCCTGGGACAAACTTCAATGTTCAAGTCACAGAAATTTAAAAAAAAAAAGTCAGAAACAGCATGAAAACAAAACTGCAGTAACAGCGGCTGAGATGCATCTCAAAGTAATAATAATACAAACAAGACAATGGGTACAATTCAATCAAATAGGACAGCATGGACAAACATACCATCAGCTTTCAAGACACAGCAACAGAGTCCATGAAAACTGCAGTCACAGTGTGTTCATTAAGCTCTTGGTACTCCCCAAGGAGAACAGAAAGGCTCTTTTATGCAGACAGCTGAGACCAGCACAGGTCCCTATGGTCTCACACAGGGAAGCTGCTGTTACCTGCAGCTAACATAGCCTGGCCATATAGCTTATGAAGGAAGCCCTCCTGACTGCCACTTTTCAAGTATCACCAAGAAAAAGAGAGCAGCTATACATGTTTTCTTCTGACAGCTTACTGACACAGCCAATAGGCATTGGCTGTGCTTCGGTCCTCAACCAGAGCAACAAGGCAAAAACGAAACAAATGCACTGTGCTGCTGGCAGCCCCTGTACTGCTCCAGACAAGGAGATATGTAGAAGTGACTCAACTAACCTACTTCCCTTTGATTCCACACATACATAACAAGTTTTTAAAATTAATTTGGGAAACAAAAAAAATTTGCAAAAAATAAAAGGAGGCACTGGCAGTTATCATAAAGGCCTATTAAAAAAATCACACCCAACTTTCCATATTACAAGTACGCATACGTATACAGAGGCATTTTGAACTTCAGCCCTCAAAGCTCAGAATGTTGAGCAGTGCTGCACATTCATTCCCTCTACAAACATGCCAGTTACCCAGTGAGAGGTGTTTTAAGCTACCTAACACAGCCTTCAAACATCTTATTTATAAAAAAAAACAATTGAATGCGTAGTTAAAAACACATTTGCTGACAAAATGCTAAGTCTTCTCATGCAATAAAACATGAAAATGAATGTAAATAAGTCCACGCTCTCTCCTATCCAATACAAATACAGCTATCTGAAAACAGTGCCTACATTACAAACACAATTACAGCTAATAATGTAAAGATTATCAGTGGCCTCATGAATTGCTGTTCACATGACAAGTATCAAAATATTCTCACGATGAAGACAGGTTACCTGTTCCAACTGAATAAATACTTCATATTTATCTTCCAACAGTAAAAATGCTGGTTGGCACTTCTTGAAATTTTGAGGGAAAACAAAGTAAGCGTGTAACTTTGTAACTTAATGGGAAAACGATGTTATCAACATAAAGTTGCCCTGCATCAGAACTTAATACCAGATACTGATACAGAACTTTTTTTCCCTTGTAATTAGAAAATTACAAGTGTAAAACAGTGCTTTTATTAAAAAAAAAAAAAAAAAGTTGAGGCTAGTGTGGGGCAGATTCACTGTTCTCATTTGCAGTGTTGTATTAGCAAATGAATTAACATCTGGGCCAAGCATTACACAAGGCCAAGTGAACTCAACTGCCCATACTGTTTAATCATTAGTTTGCCAATTTGTTTCTGCTTTGGATACTTCAAGCAGCTATTTGCAAAACAAGCCTGTTTAACAAGGGCCAGTCCTGAAGAAAACTCTACATTTCAAAAAATTGTGAAAAGGGGTAGAAATAAACTTACACATCTCTTTCTTTTTCCCCCACTCGATGTGGCAAATTGTGCCACTAAGGCTTTTCTTTTTTTTTTTTTTTTTTTTTAAATGACATCTATTCCCACTATACCTCTGTCACTAATCATGTGGTTGCACTCTTCCATGGAAAGTACCAACAAGATGAGGCCCTTAAAATGTCCAGACACTAAAAAAAGACATATGCCAAAATAAATTCTTGCAAAAGAGTTTATCACAGAAATCATAGAAAGAAACATAATACACAAACATAACTGATTTGTGCAACTATCCTTTCAAAAATCACTTCTTTGTGAGTATACAAATATACTGAATCAGTGACTAGTCTCACTACTCTTTCATTTCTGAGACAGGTCAGGTAGGAAGCCTTTTCTCCCAGTGGATTTCATAAGAAAAGTGCTCAGTGACTTTGAGAATCAAGTACAGAAAATATTCTTTGACTTAGGCAGCCTCACATAAAAGAACAGAATCTCTTCTGTTCTGAAGAACTAGAAATGCATTGCCTTCAGCTGTCTCAGAAAACTAAGAAGTCTAAGTTTGAACTGGGGCTGTATTGGCATTTGAAGGTGCACTGCCCTGCAACACTTCATTGCAAGCAACACTTGTACAAGCAGATAAACATCCCTCAGTGGAAGACAGGAATTGCCACAGGGAGCTGTAATTAACTTACATCCTTTCTCTGCTCCTTAGGTAAAGTGCCAGTGAGACAAACACTGGTAAATCTGGGCATTAAGCACATACTCAATACTAGAGAACTTAGGGGAGAGAATGGAAGTTAACATTTATCATCAGCTAACAACTCACATGAGGTGGAAATTGCTGGCTTTGCCTTGTCTATAATATGTGATATTAGTTCAACAAAAGGAAGTAATTGAGCAACCTTACTTTGAAGGCTTACCAATTTCCAAACAGCAACATTTCTAAATGGTGGACTTCACAGGTAGGATTGCTTTCCCTTAATCTTGTATAAAAATAAATTTGTGAAAGATCGGTAGAAGGTTTTAGCATTCTAGGTCTTTCCATAAAATGAGCTGATACATCTGAACTTTAGATTATTTTTAAGCATTGCAGAACAGTTTTGCTGCAATGATCCCTTTGGACAAAGAACACTGCTAGAAGCCCCCACATTTGCTAACAGTTACTGGATTGTGTTATCTTCAAGCAAATTCAAGCAATTTAATTTAGTGAAGTAGTACAGTCAATATGTTGCTTTTCTTCTAAAATGCTTATCTCTCATAGGAGACTAAGGCTCATTTTTTGACCACTTGTTGCATACAAATACTTCTAAGGCAACGTGTAAATATAAATCTGTATTTATTGACTTCTGAACTCACCAAATCTGGAGACAAGCCTAAGCCTCTCAGTGCTCGAACACTGTTCTGCGTTGGTTTTGTCTTCTGTTCACCAGTGGCATTAGGCTAGAAGGACATATTTTGAAAGCTCAAATAGCATTTAAACTATATTAACATAGAAGCTGTCAGGTAAAAGAGAAAATTAATTGCAGGTAATAATACTTGCAGGAAGTAAGCATATTGAAACAGAGCTATGACAAAACAGAAACAGAAACTGCACCATAGTTATTACATACATCAAAAATTCTGGGAAGAAACACATGACCAAGTCAGGTTTACTTTGTCTTGTTCCTTCAAAGGAAAAGTTTCAAAATAATTGACTTGGATAAGAAAAGAATCTTTCTTGGGTTTTGCTAATAAATGGAAAACATCCAACAGCATAAACCCGTAAGTCCTCAGAAATAATCAGATGAAGTAGGAAGTTTAATTCTGTGTACTATTTGAGTATTAGCTGCAGTGGTTAGTATCTCTTTAACTATACAAAGCACAATCACATCAACATTATCAACCTTTCATTACCAAAAATTCCCCAGTGAAATTGCTGAAGAAAACCTTCTGAAGTAAAATTTAGTCTGAATGTAAAATACCTTCAGCTCTATACTACAAGTTGTAGTGGTCCTGACTGGAATATTACCACATACCAAAAACTTGGTGCTCCATACAGTAGTTAACCTGAGCAGATTCAGGACTGTTCTATGCAGCACATCCAGCCTGGCCTTGAGGCTGTTCCATCCCACTCAAATCTCCTGGGCACAGGATATACTTAGCCACAGCATAAACTCAGTCAGCTCATGGCACCAGATGAGCCTGCAGGCAGCTATCACATGGTACCAGGGATAGCATCACCGGCACACTCTTCCCTGTATCTAGGAATGCAGTAACAAGTTTGATAAGAACATTATTTCTGCTTAACAGCAGAAACAACAGTTGTTTTCTTTTAAGAAAATCACATAATAGGTCAAATGACTAAAAGGGATCAGCCCAGTATGGTTCAATGCCTCATCACCAGGGGTTTCCATCACCTTACAACATTAGTTCTAACAAACAGAATCCTAAATAATATCCTACAGAAGCTGGATGCCTTTCTTAACAGGATCATAATGTACGAGCACTTTCCAGAGCAAAACACAACCATATTTATGCTTCTAGACAAATCAGCATTGATAAAGTTTTTGTTGATAACTTAATTGCCTTACTGATGTGAGAATGTGTTTCAGTGTTCTAGCAAGGATTTTATTTGTCCCAGTGAGGCTGGCCTTCTGTGATTAAGAAGCCACCTTTTGGCCTTTATCACTCAACCTCTAATCCTTTCCAAAAACTCTTCTTAATCGGAGAAATAAAAAATACAAAGCTCTATTCACAGCAAAGATTACCTAATAATTAAAAACTTATGATTTTAAAAATTTACCTGTGGTACTAGACTAACATGGATATTACAGAAGTTCTCTCGTTTTGCTTTGAACTGGAATTGTCTAAATGCTTCCACAAATGGCATTCCTTCAATGTCTCCAATAGTTCCACCGAGCTGAAAAAGAAAGCTTGAATCGGTCAGTGGCAGAAGATAAATGAAAATACTTTTTAAAGAGTTTCTCCCTTACATATTCAACAAGTTATCTGAATTTTGTTTTAAAAAGAATGCAAAGGTGAATGAAATTTGCAGGCATACTCTGCAAAGAATTCCCATATATCGTGTGTTTTCTTCCCAATGAAAACCACCTAACAGTTTTCCAGTTCCATTATACTCACTTTACACCAAGCATGTTTGGGAGATAGGGAGATACGTAGTCCTACAGAATAATACATGCCTTACTATTTTCAAAGTGGTGATCAATAGTTAATAAATAGCTAAGTTGACAGTATCTGTTTAGAGAAATCACATTTTCCTAACCCCCAGATTAATAAGCAGTCACAAACAATAACATACCAATATCTAACAATAATTATATTAGCACAATTCAATTGTTCAATTAGAACAGCTTTCCAATACTGATAAATCCTACATGGACAATGAAAATTATATTTTAAATTGAAAACAGTTTGAATACTTACTACCAAACCAAAGTCCAACACTAATTCCATGATAAACCTAATTCAAAGACACGAGTTAGATATCTTTTAAAGACCCAAAGAGCTGTAGCAAATACTCAGTGAAGCAGTTTAGCCCAGAAGTTCTGTGAAATAGCTTTATTTCAGAATGATCCTTCTGTGCCACCATGTGGCTTTCTACAGAGTTGCATATTTTTTGTTCACACAGTACCAGAAAATGTTTCTACATTTGTTCTTGATACATATATTCAGCCTAGTGCTTTAAGACTTTTGCAATGGCAAAAAAAAATACAAACCTTTATCCTTACAGTATTAAAGAAAAATATCTTCATGAGGCTGGCACTATAGTGCAAAAGCCTTTACACGGAGGAAACAAAACTATGTCCAAAGTTTGACAGTTCAAAGACTGACAAGGTCACTGCTGATTAACATGCTTGTGCAAATTCCGTATTTACTGGTTTTATGTTTGCATTAAACATTTTATTCACTGTGCACATCATTAAAAAAAATACAGCTACATCAATGAGTGTATTTTGATTAAGAAAAATTGTTCTGTGTAAGAAACACTGAGCAACTTGGTCTTGGGTCATAAAGTTTATCACATTGCTGATTATCATGGTGGCTTCTGGCATTAAATCTACAACATGTTCTTCTGTCAGATTATAAGGTATAAATTTTTCCTGTATTTTTAACCCTAACAGTAATACCCAGCAATTACTGACCGCACTGCTCCAGGTTGTCATCATGCACTATTAAGTGTAAGTGAAACTCATTAGATCCATCATGCAGAACATCACGGTTAAGTGATTAACAAAGTTGCTCACAGAGATCTTCAAAACGAAATTAGAAAGTAGGAAACTACTTTACATAATGTTGAAATATATTCCTGCAAATATGACCATGAGCAGCAAGATGGAGCATTTGAAGCCACACGGATAGCTACAATTGTGTAAGTTCTCCTACTGACCATAAGGTATTTCAGACATTACACAAGTTTCCTCAATACCATTTATAGGACATAGCTTCAGTCAAACATCTGCATCTCTGAATAGATAATCCACATTATAAAATTAAGGTAGCCATTTATTATCAACTAGTCAACTCTGAAGCAGCTCAGTTCCAGCAGGATTTAGTCAAGATAACAAAACCAGTGGAGATACCACAGCCACACCTACTGTTCTCAAAACAAATCATCAAGAATACACAAGAATACAAAATGTATTTGTATTACTGCTCTTTGTAAAGCTTCAGCCTTTTTTTTTTTTTTTTTAAAGCAGTAAATAGCAAAGAGAGAACAAGCTAGCTCTTTGTGTTCACCTGAGAGGTTTTATACTTGCCTCGATTACACAGATTTGTGGCTCTTTTTTGTCATCATCCACAGGAACTTTTGCCTGATTCATTACCCACTCCTGAACCGCATCAGTGATGTGTGGAACAACTACAAGACAAAGCAGGAGGAGTAAGGCAAGCACATCCAACTTTAGACTCACATACTCTTTTTTTTTGTGCAGAAAAAGTGGGGAAAAAAGAAGCAGAAAGTCAAATGGAATCAACAAGCATTTTCTTTAATATATTCCTCCTATCCTTGAACCCAGAAGTCTTACATTACACAAATATGTCTGTATTTCCTAGATTGGAGAAAGGAGCAAGCTGATATAGCAAGCAGCAGCTTGTTCTAGCCACTCCTTTAGGAAGAGTGGATGGACTAGCATGCCACAGAACTGAAAATATCACCTTGAACAGTCTTTCCCAGGTAATCACCATGCCTTTCTTTATTGATAACATGCTGATATATCTTTCCAGTGGTGATATTGTTATCTTTATAGAGATTGATGTCCAAGAATCTCTCATAATTTCCCAAATCTAAGTCAACTTCTCCACCATCATTCAGTACAAAAACTTCTCCTGAAAAAAAAAAAAAGTGAAAATGTTAAAAATAACATAAGGAAAACTGAGGAAGAAAACCATGACAGACAGCAAAGTAATAAAATAGCTAAAATCTGCTAAGTACAAATCAGATCAAGAGAACAAAAAATGTATCTTCAAACCAAACTTTATTTTTCAATGGACATAATGAAAAGATACAAACATTAAAACCACATGCTGCAACTTGATTTGTCGTGTCATTGTGTGACTTCATATTAAGTCATCACTTTTACCCTGAATGTCTATCAGACAAATATTTTTGAACACAGATTAAAATAATATGGTTAAAATATTAAGAGACTTAAAAACCATTCAACAGGTATTTCAATAGCCTGATACAATCCTCAATCAGGAGAACGTAACTTCCAGGAATCATAAATGTTAATAATAAATTTTATTGAATAAGGCTTGCACCAGAAGTAAAGTTATGATGAGCATAAAACGCTTCTTCAAACATGCTCACTATTTATTATTAAGTTGTTTCATCTCATGTATTTGGTTCACTACGCATAAAGCAATAGTTATTTCTGATCCTGAAAAAAATGTAATGTAAATATTCTTCAGGGCTCATATTTTCCTTAAATTTCTGAAGAGTCGCTAGCTTCCGAATCCAATTTCTGAAGAAATCATTACTGCTGGATCCTGACGTAAAGGTAGAAAGGAAAAGGTAAAAAGCTCTGCACAAGAGACAAAAAGAAGGAATTCTCCCTGAAGATGTGATGTAGACTACGAAAATATATATCCCATCCAGATACAACATTCCAGTGAACAGTTTAACAAAAACAAACAAACGCCCTCAACAAAAAAAATATATCCTCAAAGTCTGAAGTCATTACAGGAGTCCTACAATCAAAAGTAAAGGCAGAACATCCTTGGAAAATTGCCTCAGTAGCACTCTGAAAGTGCAGGAGTACTGGGTTAGATCAATTTGGCTTTGAGTGAGGTTTGGTGTACTGCTTTCAGTTCACTTCCAAAAATGTTGATTTAGACTAAAACTAAGCAGGCAAAACTTGACAACTGAAATAAATCAGAAATCCATCTTGTCTGAAGGCACTTGGGAACTTTGAAAACCACTATTTTCAACAGACATACTAACACTATGCGGCACAGATGAATGTTCAGCATTATAAATGCCTACCAGACTGCTTTGCAGCTCATCAGTGTAGTCAGTACAAGCCAACCAAACTAACATCTATTTATAAATAATAAGACTAGTCAGCTTTCTAAGTTCCACTGATGGTTTTGACCATTTAGTGCTAGTGGTGGCAATGGTGATGAGGAGACAGTTGGACTAGATGATCTTACAGGTCGTTTCCAACCTTGTGATTCTATGATTCTATGACTTGACCATCAACTAAAACAAGAGTGTAAACTAACTCTCATGAAAACATTCACATTAGAGACACTGATACCCAGGTAGCAGCATTCACAGCTAATTGCCCAGCAGTACAGCTTCAAAAAAATTCTGCTGTACTATTCCAATTTTTTTTTTTTTGTTGAACAGAAGACAGCATACACTGAACAAGGCCCACAGCTAGAATTTTTCTCAACAAAGCAGAATTTCACAGAAAGTAAGCCTCTACTAACAGAGGTTTCTCCCAACAGCTCCTCTCTTTACTCACAGCAGACACCACCCTTGAAAATATAAAGGGAACAAGACTGCATTGCCAAATAGATGATAAAATGACTAATAACTACTGTACTACTGCTTTTTGTTTGGCTGGTTGCCTTTAAAACATGTGATTAAATATGCAAATATTTACTACAAAATGAACAGTGCTGTTCTTCATACCATGTTCATATGGTGAAAACGTTCCAGCATCTATGTTTATGTAAGGATCAATTTTGATTGCAGTGACACGCAGACCACATGATTTCAGTATGGTGCCAATGCTGCTTGCAATGATCCCTTTCCCAATGCCTGAGATGACTCCACCAGTTACAAGGATGTACTTCATTGGAAAAAAAATCAAATCAAGCACACAGATTTTGAGCTGGAAATCTAAAATGACAAAGAGATACATTTGATTAATGCAAATTCATCCCATGGAATAACATAGTCTCACTATGCAAAGAATTAAAATGACCTTCAGGAACAACAAAATCACCACTTTAGAATATCCCCCACTTATATGTTGGTATTTAAGCTTGATGTCTAAATCCTTTCCACAATCAGTGAGAAAACAGAGATATTAATTAGATTTATTGCCCTGCGGAGATACCAGGGTAGGTATAACTCATCTGACTTCTCTAACATGACAGGAACAGCCAACCACCTTTTAGAAGTTAAGCAAGACTAATCTCACCCTAGATTCTTCCTAAATTAAAGAAATGAATCATTTCATTTGTGTTTTGAGAAGTTAGCTCAAGACTGTTCCTTGCTACATTAGCCAGCACAATCACATTCTCTCCTCAGTAGATCTACCTTCAAAACCTTCAGCACATAGCTACCAGTATCTTTGTATCACCCACTACATTTTTCAGAAGATTTCTCCTCCCTAGCTCACAGCATACCAAATATTTCAAAGGCCTTACCGTATCCTACACACCAATGGAATATAAGAGCAAAAAAGAAAAACTGAACCAAAACATCCACATTTACATGACAGCATATTAACCATGAGCCTCGAAGTCTTGCTTCACATATCCACCCATTCTCCAACAAATTACAGAGAGAAAAAAAATCTAAAAAGAAAAATCTAGCTTCACTAGACTGTGAGATAAAGTTGATACTGTACTAGAAGAAAGCAATGTTATGCCAGTTTTAAGTTTCAGATTTAGAGAACCATTCAAAATTATGACACACAAAGCCAGAACTACAACTTCAGATAGCAGAGAGCTGTGTCATATGGCCTTCAGTATGGCCAACTTCCCCAGGTCTTAGCTTCCTAGACTACAAAGAGAAATAAATGACCCTTTAAAAGGGGTAACTGCAATTATGAATAGTGTTAAAAACTACTATCTGAACAGAAAGCATGACAGTTTAGCTAGCAGGTTGATGGAAGTGATTCTCTTCCTCTACTCTGGCCTCACAAGACTCCACCTGGAGTACTGCATTCAGCTCTGGGGCCCTAACAAAGAGGTAGATTTCTTAGAAGAACAGCTCCAAAGAGGTATAGAGGGCTGGAGCACTTCTCTGTAGGAAGAAAGGCTGAGAAAGTTGAAATTGTCCGGCCTGAAGAAGGCTCTGGAAAGACATGAGGCCTTCCAGGACCTAAATGGGGATACAGGAAAGATGAAGAGGGACTCTTCATCAGGAATTGTAGTGGCAGATGATTTTAAATGAAAGGAGACGTTTAGGTTAAATGGTAGGTGGAAATTATTTACTCAGAATGTGATAAGGACTGAGCACAGGCTGCCCAGAAAAGCTGTGGGTGCCCCATCCCTGGAAATATCCAATGTCAGGCTGGATGGGGATTTGGACAACCTGACCTTGTGGAAGATACCCGTCCCTGTGGCAAGGGGTTGAAACTAGATGATCTTTAAGGCCCTTTCCACCCCAAGCCATTCTATGATTCTGCAATTGCTTGTGTACATTACGTTGCCAAAGCTTCGATAAGAGGATGCAACACCATATTTCACAAGGCTACGCCATAATTCTTGCATACAGAACAACAGCTATTCATACACAGAAACTGTCTCCAAAAAAAAAAAAAAAAAAAATTGACTGTTACAAAAAGCCTAGATAATTAAAATTGAAAAAAAAAATCCACTATGAACTAACAGATTCAAATACCATACCAGGGCAATCATATGATTTTGGATGGGAAAAAAAACAGTGAAGATACTCACACACCTATGCCATCTTGCATAGATGCAAGATTTACCTCTTATTTCCTTGGCTTAGTTATTCCTTTCATCTTGTACCACTCAATTGTCTGGGAAAGTACCAGTGAGTTTTTTCACCTTACAACCTCCAAAAAGTACCAACAATATTTATTTAAACAAAAAATAACTAATTTTATAATTTTATTTCTTCACTTCAGCTTTCACGTATGAACAGATACCTCCAAACATTCTAAGTCACAGCTGATTACATACATTATGTGTGAAAATCTATAGCATAAGTCTGCAGCCCTCCTGAAATAAGTGAATGAAGAATGCAACTCACCTGTAACTGCATTTAGATTACATTCAGGCAGATCTGGGGGCTAACCCTTGGAGCAATTCTAAAACAATGATAGCACAGCATGTCACAAAGCAAAAGGCCTGGGGTCAAGAACAACCTTTCCTTACCTAAATATGCATTTTGTTCAAAACAACAGGCAATAGCATGTGATCTGAAAGCGTTTAAGAAGAATCAAGTTGGGACAGTTCTCTAAACACTGGTAGCAAGCAGCAGAGAGTGAATAACTGTTCTTCTGATATTATTAGTTAACATAAATAAGGCCTAGAGCTTCAGCTGGCAGAGGTCAAAAAGGTAACAATGCTTATTTTGAATGCTTTTACAATGGATAGCAGGAAATTAACAGAGTATTACTTCCTTACCAACACACACGAAAGGGAGACAAAAATCGAAGTATTTAATCCAGAAGAAAAGAACCCTTGGAATTTACTGTGAGCTGGTAACAGGTAGGCATGTAGCAAACACTCATGGAAGAAAAAAGAAAACAAGAAGGAAGCTTCCTTCCATTCCCCTTCACAACCTGCAAATACGCTAGTGACAGAACTTCAGAGTAACATAAAACAAGAAACAAGAAACTGATGAATGAAGAAATGGAAGATCTTCAACACGTGCCACTTCGAGACTCACAGACCCCACCGCTTCCCTGACAGGAACCAGAACGAGAGCTGCTACCTTCAGAAGCCCAGATTTCCCCATTTCCCTGCAGCCCTGGAAGCCCACTGCTTGCTCACAGCAGAAACAACGCACGGCAGGTGCGTTGGGGAACCACAGGAGCTGCTGGAAATGGCAGCCGGCTCCTTTTCTCTCCCTAAGAACTGAAGCCACGAAGTTCCCCCTTCTCCTCCAGAGCTCCACGAGTTAAGGCGCGTCCTGCAGACAGCTTTAACTTCGTGCTTGTAACGCGTGGCTCCGCTTACAGAAACTACCGTAAGCGCCGAAGCACCACAGTACTCCCCAAAAAAGGCTTTCACCCCGTACCAGAAGCTGCGAGCGCCCCACACGGGACGGGGGCGGATCCGCGACGCACCGGAGAACTTCGCACAGCCCCAAGGGAAGAAACGGCCCCTCCTCCGGAGCCGAGGGACGCGGAGCGGACTGCGGGGCGTCACCTTCCGCGCGGAATAGGGAACGGGCGGACGCGCAGGTACCCGCGCGCGCACTACACTCTTCCCACCTCGCGGCCCCGCCTGGCCACGCCCCCTTCTCAGACAGAGGCCCGCCCCCTGCGACCGGAAGTGACGTATGCGGAAGGAGCGGGCCGTCCGGGAGTCCGTGCGGAGAGTTGGTTCTGCCCGCTGGAGCGGCTGTTAACAGCCGCCTGCGCGGCCGCCTCTGCGCCATGTTGCGCGGCTTAGGCAGCTGGCTGGGACTGGAGCGGGTAGGCGAGGAGAAATTGCTGGTGGCTGAGGAGAGGAGCAGCCCCGCGGAGGAGCCGGAGGAGCCAGGCGTGGAGCCGGCCACGCAGAGCCAAGAGCGGGCGGAGCCGCAGGAGGATACGGACGCGCTCCTTAGCCAGGCCAAGGGATTCGGCAGTGAGTGTCCTGGCCTGGCCTGTTCTGCCTGGGTCAGGCCTGGGGATGTCCCACGCATGGCGAGCTGCGGGGGGCTTTGTGCCAGGGAAAGGTTGAAGTGAAAGAACAGCTTTCTTTCTTGCCTGACGTCTTCCGGGAGCGCAGCGATGTGTCTGCTTAGAAATAGTAATAATGTAGCCTTAAAGCACTGAATCTCCCATGGTATAGTGAGAGTAAGGCTGAGAGTAAGGCAGACTGGCTATAGGAGTGAAGGCAGATCAGTTCGGTGCATAGTTAGATGTAAATCCCTTGGCGCTTCTCGTTGGCACTGAGCTTTAACTGAACTAAACAATTGCATGTTTTAGGTTAAATGCTGTTCGCAGCTCTGCACACTTAAAGAGCTGTCTTTGTAGATAATTACACCACCAGTGCAGCTTGCTTAGTGATTCAAAGTAAAAACAATGTGACCAGAATATTTGAAAAGTAAGCAAATAGCAAAACAAGCCCTAAAACATACCTTTCCAGATGTGAATGATAATTTGGGTCATGTCAGTTAATGTAGGAAATTATCTCAGTTACTTTCACGTATCTTTTTTATTTTGTGTTTTCCCATATCATTGTTTTGCATTTCTCACATTTGTTAATGGCTGCATATGTATGCATCACCTAGATGTATTTCCCAAGATCTCACAAGATGGAATTTTCTATACATCTTGTCCAGTCTTCCATAGTTCTCAAACTGTCCTGTGTAAACTGATAAAGCCAGAAGTTTGAAATTGAGCTACTCCTCCAACATTGTCTCCACTATTTGTTTACTTGGTTTGTTTGTTTCTCACAGATTCTTTTTAATTAACAATTACTGGTAATGAGATAGAGTTGCTATCTGTTCTGTGCCCTGTTAAATGATGCTTTCTCACTAGGTGTCAAAAGCCATTGTATAAAATACGTTGGATATTCAAAATATGAACCAAGCAAATGGCTTCAGGTGTTCCTTTTGGTTATCTCTTACTAAATGAACAGCATTTCTTTACCTGTTGTCAGTATGACAAAAGCAATGCATACGTACGAATCACATGCTTTGTGAGGTTGTGTGGATGTTTCTTTGATAGTTTATAGGAATGCAGTATCTGTTTGATTATTTTGTTACTCATCTGTAGAAGTAGGGCTGTAGTTGGCTGTAGGTAAGAACTGTGAATTACTAGTGTAGATTCTTAGGTAAAGTGCTAAGGTTCAGTACTGTACTGAAGGTGCTCCCTGAAATTCTGGCTCAGTGTCTTCTGAGACATCAGTCTGAGGTGTTTCTGAGGTGTACATATCTTGAGCTTTCTGAAATGCAGCAAATTGTCTGTGTGGATTGGTCAGGTGTCTGATTGCTCTTGTAAGCACGTCCTAATCTACTCTGATTGTCCAGGAGGATACTTTGAAGTTTCAGAAAAAAAAATATAGGATGCTAGTGATAAAAATATTTATCCTGTAATTTGCTGTCGTAGTGAGAATTTGGTACAGTGATGTGTGGACTCATCGCCTGTGACATCAAAGAGGGTTGGGATGGGAAGGTTTTTTTTGCATGGATTTGGAGGCTGCTTTTGTAATAGACGACTCTAAAGGTCTAACAGCCAAAGTAGCTGTGAGTGAGACTTTTGTAGCACATTACAAATTCTGCTGGTAAAACTGAAGCCTTATGTGCATTCTTTTTGCTTGTTATTATATCATTACAAAGGCTTAGAAAACTTTGTCGATATGAATCAGTGATAGAAATATTGTTGGATAGATTTTCTTACATAGGCTTCTAAGATGAAGTGTTCTTGGTCAATTGGATGTGGAAGCTTTGTTTTTCCATTACTAATACTATTCTTCTGAGGCTAAGTTGCTCCTCTTACTGAGGTTTGTTGAGTACCTTAGCATAAGAATGTTCAGTCCTTAATAGAAAAAGTGTTTTGCCCTTTAGAGCCTGAACTACTTTGCTCAGTGGTACCAAAGTATTGCTGGGCAGCAAATGCTTCAAACTTTTCCACCTAAAGCACTTAAATATTAGAATAATAGAATGGTTTGGGTTTGAAGAGACCTTTAAGATCATGTAGTTCCAACCTCTGTTATAGGCAGGGACACCTCCCTCTAGACCAGGTTGCTCAAAGCCCCATCCAGCCTGGCCTTGAATAATTTCAGGGAAGGGGGATTAAAAAGATTCCAGGGATACATAAAAGAAATTGTGAAAGATGCATTGTTCAGAAAATATAAAAGAAAGCAGTGTATTGAGCTATTATGAATGTTTGATTTAGTAATCAATGTTCAAATATAATGATCTGATGTACAGAAAACTTTGATCCAACTTGCAGCTTGATTATCACTAAAGAGTTTGTGAACCAGAAAAGGATAAATGAGATTTTAGCAGTTCTTTGTAGGTTGGAAGCTGGGTTAAATCATTCAGAAGGAAGACTTCAGCAGGTTTCAAGTAGGTAATGTTTCAAGAGAAAGGAAAATCTAGTACCAGTCTTGGATAAAGGGAGGTCTTTTTTCAGCTGTTTTTCTTTTTGCCTATATTGAAGGTTACCTCTTCAATTTCGCCACTGCTGCTACAAAAAAGATATCTGAATCCGTTGCCGAAACAGCACAGACCATTAAGAAGTCTGTAGAAGAAGGGAAAATCGACAGTATCATTGATAAGGTATTTTATTTCTCAATTCGTGATCTGAAATATTTGCTTGCTTACTGTTGTGTTGTATATCTGGCATGTAATAGAATTTATTTAAGCTGGCTTTAGGAATTGTGTGTTTCAATAGCACATTTCTCCTGCCATGATAAATGACATGACCAAAATGTTCCTTGAGGGTAGAAGAGCAATGGTTAACTGTGCTTTGCTCAGTGCTGCACCAGTGCTCATTTCCTTCAGGATGTGGATGTACTGGAGAAAGACAGTAAGAAATGGCATCTGGATGACGTTTTACAATATGTGGTTTAGTAGCTTGCAGTAGTAATGCTGATAGGAGAACAGTTGGACTAGATGATCCTGTAGTCCTTTGCAACCTTGTGATTCTATGTGAAAAATAATATATATATATATGCTGAAGTAGGATGAAAGGCTGAACAAGTTGGAGTTGGACAGTTGGAGATGTCTGGGATGTAATTATTTTTCTTTTTCCAGTTAAGTGGGAAGAAATTATATAGCTTCTGTGTCTTAAATGCATCTCTGAAGCAAGATTCAGAATTAGGTCAGTTTTGTGGATATTGTAGAGCAAGGGCCTAGAGCTACACGTGTATGTTTTTGTAAGATCAGGGAGTAAATGAAAAAGCATACTATGATCCTGCTCTTCTCCCCTGCTCTGGCAATGATCTTTTGCTCTCACAGCTCTTCTCTGCTGGATCCAATTGTATAACTTGTGCACCAAGTGTTCTAACAGTGCTTCAGTCGTGAACTTGGCAGGGGAAGGTAGAACAATCAGAAGAACACCTTGTAGTGTTCGGTTTGTGAGCAGAAGTAGCTCAGAAGGGGAAGGGAAGTGACCAAAAGCAACGCAGGTGTGTTGAGTCTGTGCATCCGCAAGTGTCAGAATGCAAGATGGAGCCTGCTCCCTCCTCCTGCAGCTTTGTTTCACACACCCTTTTTGGGGAACTAAAGCATTGCCTTATTTGTTGATTTAAAATACAGTGAGTATTAAGTTCAGTTTCTTGGTATAATCAGTGTTCATGTCATCTGCCAAATTAATAATTAAATGACACTTTTAAAATTCTGTTGTGATTGAATTTTATCTCCAAATTTCATTGACTTTTTAGGGACAACTGTCTATGTATGATAACAGACTTATGTTTCCTACAACAATATGTTAGAGTCTATCTAGCACAAATCCATACGCTGGAAAAAAAGAGGGAAAATAGGTAAGAAGGTTGTTTGATAATTTATTACAGGGGCTGTAATGTTTATAAAACATACTGTAGGTACTTAGTACAGTTTCTCATGCCTAAACTTCAGGTTTTCTTCTTCTGATAATGTGAATTCCCTGTTTTGACTAAAATGTGTGTGTATGGAGAAGTAGAGTTATAGCTCCTGTAGCATTCTAATGCTTTTCTCTTACACCAAATAACATTTTTATTCTGTAAATAGTAAAAATTCAATAACTCGAAACTGGAGGGAACCACAACAATGTATTGTTATCATAGGCACTCTCTCACAGATGCTAACCTAAAGCCAGAATGCTGGATCACTGAATGAGATGTTCTTACAGTATCTCAAAGTAGGTTTAAATATTCACTTCTAATTTCCAGTGTCATTCCTGTTTTTTCTTTCCTTCCCGTGCTTTCAACTACAAAACAGTATTTGCATTGTAACCTGGATTATGGCATTCCTGCCTCAGAAATCCCTAAACATTTCACTGTAAAATGTACAGTGCTGTTTTACATCAAGCATATGACTCTTCTGTGACCATTTCCAATTTTTTCAATGCTGATTTCTGTATAGGATATTTCTGAACATAATCTCGTGCCGTGCATTTGTCAGCACTCAGCTAAGCACACATTCTGAAAGTCATACTTAGCAATTTGATAGGTCTGATTTATTGCGATGGATGTATTTCATAGCCAAGACTTCAATCTTACTACAAGGCCAAGGGTATCTTGAAGTGTTGGTGAAAGCAGGTGGTAGTTTTTGTCTCTATTTCATACGTAAAATGTATGT